ACCAATTTAAGAGAAACAACAATATAATTTTCCTCAATTTTTGTAAAATGTTACAGATGGGGAAGTCGATAGCTTTTCTTCTCTGTTCTAGTACTACATTGCATTGGTATGGTAGCTATAAAGTAAACATAGACAAAGAACAATATTGGGTTAGCTGTAACAAAATACCTCTAGCAGAATTAAAAAATAAGGACTTGGTTACAAGGACTGGAATAAATAAGTTCTGTATGATGACTTCACATGGAAAAAAAAAAAAAAAAAAAAAAAGAGAGAGAAAGAGAAGGTTGAGAGTAGAAGGATGAGAGGGAATCTGATCAATATGTATAAACACCTGAAGAGTGAATGTAGGGAGAAAGGGGCCAAACTCTTCTCAGTTGTAGCCAATGATAGGACAAGGTATAATGGGTATAAGTTGAAACACAGGAAGTTCCATCTGCATGTGAGGAAGGACTTCTTCACTCTGAGAATGGCAGAACCCTGAAACAGGCTGCCCAGTTTGGTTGTGGAGTCTCCTTCTCTGGAGATCTTCCAAACTCCCCTGGATGCCACCCTGTGCAATGTCTAGCTTTCCGTCCTTGAGCAGCAAGTTTGGACGTTTGGAGGTCCCTTCTGACCTTAATCGTTCTGTGACTCTGTGATTCTGTGTGTGATTACTTATAAATAAAATATATATCCTTAAAATGTTTTGGGATATAATCTTGACCCCACATATGTCAAAAGAAAAGGATCCTTATTACAATAATATAATGTCATTTCAGACTAAGCTTTGTATATAATTTGGCAACTTCCTTCATTTTTCCTCTGCTTTGTGTTCTTGTATTCTTTGAAATTAGTTCATCAAATGCTATAACATGTAAGCTGTAACCTAAGTAATCTATGAACAATAACCGGAAAATCATTTTTCTTTTTGGTTTTCAGTCTTATGCAGTGATGCTTATTCAAAGATACTATCTTCTTGGTGTGCATTTCTCAATACATAGATGAGTTGTGTCAGTTTTTCCCTAATGGTTAAATGAATTATGTGAACATATACATCTGAACTGTGAAGCTGATGATTTTTTAAGACTATTTAATAATCTTATCCCCGATTTTTAAATCAGAAGACTTGCTGTTCTGTCCCAACTCCAGTCTGGAATTCCACTGGGAGCCCAAGAACACAATTAAATAGTGCACACTGAGTTCTTATTTTGATCTTGCATCAAGGAATTACAAAGTTGAGCACCTGGACTTGAGAAGTGACTCACACTAGTCACTCACTAGAAGTGACATAACTATCCACTAATAGTTTTTGCCAGTATTCACCGTAGACTATTTCTGAATCTGTTTGAAATTTATACTTAAAAGATACCCATCTGGCCCACTTATAAAATCTATTCCAGTGCTGAAGCATATTGCTTTCTGCATATTGCGTACACTGTCCATTTTGTAAGTTAAGCACAATTATTGCAGCTAATGTAAAGCACTATTATTGGAGATTATTCAAAGAAAGAAGCTTTGAAGGGAATGTCTTTATTAGCTAAAAGAAACCCTTTGGACTGAACACAGTAGGATGTTCAGCTTAGTAATATTGCATCTGCAGACCAGTATTTCTACTACAGAAAACAAAAAATTGCAGACCAGTAAGTATTCCTACTACAGATAACAAATAATTGATTTGAGAATAGTTTATGTGACACTTTTTTACCTTTTTTTTTGCATAAGCCAGCATGTTTTGCAGATGTATCTGTTGCTCAGAAGTCTATTTTATATATTTGTACAGAATTATATCAATCTATTTTATCTCTTGCTCTGCAGCAAATATTCAACAAATGGGTTGAGGAATGATGATATGCAAAATCATGGAAAAATCCTTCATCAGACTTTGGCAGTGGCATTCACAATGATGACCTGAATGCCCAAGGATACTTAATTATTAAATGCAGGAGAATTAGCCTTCAATTTAGGAATTCTAAAAAGTGAGCACACTGAGCACTGTGACACTAAAATGAGGAGCCATGCAAGGTAGAAACAGGTGAAATCACTGCCTCTTATGTTATTATGTCACCACTGTATCTACAAGCCTCTGAAAGATGAAATGAAACCAGAAGTAACACAAGGAAACCCAAAATTCTGTATTTTCAAAGAGGTCACATATAGATCCCAGCATTCTGCATCACTGTATCTGCTGTGTAAGTGTGTACCTTCTTAGGTAGTAGACACAGAATTAAATGCTTGTTACTGGGCATATACTTAACTACCTCATCTATCTTTAGCTATCCAGAATTTGGACATTTGGTTTAAATTATTTGTTAGACTTCCTTTGCAGGTAACAGTGAAACAAAGAGTCTCAGCAGTTGTTGCCAGTATTCATCAAAATATTTCTGAATCTGGAATGTAACAGAATCGATCAGTATTCAACCCAATTCAAATTACATGGAAAGAACTGTCCTGCAGATATTCTCTCCTTACAACAAAAGAAATAGCCCTAATTATATGTCTGTTCACAATACTTTGTACTCCTCATTTAATAACTCAACTCTCAGCATTTTCCCCTCACTTACTTTTGTAAATGAAATTCTTTTTCATGTGGACACTTAAGAGAAAAATGTGTGCAATTTTTTGAAGACCACTCAAAGGAAACAGCTAGCGCTTATATTTGGAAGTCATTTCTTAAATTATCTATGGCATTTTTATTCCTTACAGTTTAGATGAAGTGGGCATAACAGCCTCTTCTAAGTAGCCTATTGTACTCTGAATTCTAAGAACTTGTTTTGATGGAACAAATACTATCTTATTGGGTATAGTCTGAAGAAGGATTTTTCCATTGCACACTATAGACCTGATTTTGCAGTGTATTTAAGTGCCATTGGTAGGTAGGCTTCTCCAATCCTGATGTTATGCATAAACTGAAGTGTGATGCTGAATCATTTCTGTGATTTTATATGACTGTTATTCTTTATTTGATGAGTGAGAATGAGGCAAGTGGCAAAGTTGTGTGGCCAATGCAAAAAAATACTGTGAATCCTTCATCTACACTTAGTCTTAATCTAATAGAGAATAGAGCCAGGCACTGTGAAACTTTGCTTTCCCGTCTAAGGACTTTATTGCTAGCGCACAGATGTCTAGAAGAGAGAGATGGTAGCACATTTCTGTGATGATTGTTCTGAAATAAAAAAAGCCAATTGAGAAATGTAAAAATGGCAAAGATGGTCTATCTCTTCTCATTTCTCAAATATGCTTCAGAAAGGCAAAGGTCATGATTTTCTGATGAGCTTTATTCAGTTATATGGATCAGTAAAAAAGGTGATTACAATGTACAGTCAACTGAATGGTATGCTGTTTTGTATTGTTTATTTTTTAACTCATTGTCTATAGGATATGTAAATGTGAAAGGGGAAAGGCATTGCACACACTTAAAGATGAGGAAAACTATTCTATTTACTGCAGCAAAGATTGGTGTGCTCAGGAGGGCAGCATTTCCAACAAATATGATAAAGTTTCACATAAATTGCCAACTCCTCTAAATATCTTTTAAAAAGTCCTTAATTCTGTTTGTTCTCTTGGGAGCTCCTCTGTTAAACACAAAATATGAAAGTGGAAATGAACTTAGCTTTTTTAAATCAGAGTATAGATAATTTTTGTTAGAGACTCTTACAAATTTTCATGTCAATAATGTCAGGGAAATGGACCACATTTGTCATATTCATTTCTTTCATTTATATTAATGAGTAGTTAAGATAATGCCTTTCTTTTTCCCTTTCAGTTACTAAGATGGTTACAATAACAGATAACATTATTTAGCTTGAGGCAAGTATAAAATTTTGCCAAATATTTAAAAGAAATTAAGACATCTTGAAGCACAAAAACCTTCACAGGTTTATGAAAGTTGAGAATTTGACTTCTGTCTAATCCTGTTTAATTTCAGTGAGATACTAAATTGTTAACCATATAGTTAAAGGGCACAGATGAGCCACTGAGAGGAATTCATTTACAGGCCATTAAACAAACAACAAAAAATGTAACAGCATTTTTTGCCTTAAATTTTTATTACTTAAATTTTTGTCCAACACCTGTGAAATTAATGTCTCCTCAAAGTAGCAGCATGGTAGGAATGAGGATGACCTTATAATTATGTGAAATACCACTGAAACCACAAAAGAAAATTTCATTGCTTCAAATATACCTGTGAGGGAAAACATATCTTTCAGTAATGCTGCAACTTCTTACAAAGAAAAAAAAAAAGGAAAAAGAACAAAATTCTTTACTGCTCTCGTTAGAAAGGGATTTAAAATATAATTTGTCTAGATTAATTCATATTAGATGTAACAAACATAGAAACATAGAAAATATTTTTATATAGTTAGTTATGTATTTTATTAATTTCATGTTTATTATTGAGAGTCATCAGTCTTTTCTTCAGTAGCACAATGTGCTTCATAATGTAATGACTTGAATGGCCCTATTAGCTTTAGAATTATTGATCTCAAATTCTCTATTAGATCTTTCATATGTAAACTCATAATGAGTTCTTATTATCAGGTTTCTTTTTGTCATTTTATCATTTTTAAATAAATATTTTTTTTCAATATTATGTACATTTTATACACATGCAATCACATTTTTTATGCTTATGGAAATAGAAAGAGGAATTATGTAACAGGTTATCACTTCAGGTAAAACAGGGGGTTGAAAAATCTTCATTGAAAACATCCTTATTTAACCTTATTTTTTGACGAGACAAATTTACTGACCCTCTTTGTTTGTTTGTTTGATTAATTGGTATTAAATAGAGGTAAAGGTATTTCTGAGTACATTTCACAAATGTATTCATACTGATCTTAATCAGACACTATCAAATTATAAATACATCCATGTGATGAAAGGGACAAGATAGCACAAAACTGTTTTAATTATGTACAATATGGAGATTAAAGAGTCCCATGGAAGGAAATCCACTTTTTGTAATATAGTTTTCCATAATAGCAATGCTGACTTGATTGTGTATGTTTTGTTTCCTCTAGGCTGTACTTTGGCGGTACAAGTTTTCTCAGCTCAAAGGTTCTTCAGATGATGGGAAGAGCAAAATCAAATTTTTGTTCCAAAACCTAGATACTAAGCAAATTGAAGCAAAGGTAAAAACAACACATTCCTTTTATTATTTAGACAGTAGGCATTCAAAGCAATTATCCAAGCTGGTAGAAAAAAGACAAGTAAGTCAAGGAATTTCCTGAAAACTTGTGGATTGGTGTGTGAAGTTAAATGTTTGACTAGCAAATAAAACTGACAGAACTGTTGAATTATTTAATTGAATTGTTTGGATTTTTGGTAGCTTATTGTACTTTTAAAAGATGTAATCACATCCAAAATAAACAAACAAACAAAAAGCTTTCTAGATGTGGTGTTAAGCATATTTGCCAACTCACTTCTTTGATAAAAATGTCTGAGAGTGCGAATGCCCTTCCAATCTGTACTCGTATCTTGGTATTTGTAGTTAACAAAGGAAGTACTGTAAAATATATCCTTAGGTCTGTATGCAGACAAAAAAAGTGAGACTCTAAGATATATTTTTATTTCTTAGAGTAAAAAGGTCTGGAATAAACACTTATTCTCTTTACTTTTCGATAAAGCTTTGTGTCTGTGTCAAATTCAAAATCAAAAACGACTGTTTTCAGTTGTGCTTTTGATTACAGTTAAGTTATGAGAAAAAGTCACCAAAGAGATATTTATGACTAATTTGACTTAAGTCTCTTGAGAATACGGCATTTACTATAACAGTATTTGTGAGGAAAAGTCATCTTTCCAGAACTTTGATAATTGGAGCTGAATTTGATATTTTTGATTAGAAATTTGATATTTTTGAATAGAATCCCAGAGTTTGTATAAACAAAATTTTGTTTTTGTCCACCTTTTAAGCCTCACTTTTGATGAAGAATTTGCTCTGTTAGGTTTCTTGTCTGTGACAGAGCCAAAATTGATGGATGAATGTAATAACAGTAGGCTTCTGGGAAAAAAAAAAAAAAAAGAAAAGAAAATAAATGATTAATTAATTTGTGGTTAAAAATATATTGTATCTTTGTACTCTAAAACTCTGGTGTTAGCTGCATAATAATGTGTGTGAGTGAAATGCATTATATTGAGGGAAGATGTGAGATAAATTAGTTCATGAACATCAATCAGGTATTTTTTCCCTTTCTGCATATCACTTTGATTTGTATTTTTTTTCCACTTAAAAGCTATTTAATTGATTTTTGAATTTTATACATACTACATTAAAATTATGTAAACGCTCCCATTAAATCAACAGCAATGAAGAGTAATGGAAGGTCCTTTTCCATACCTTTATGTTTTACTACCTTGCAAAGATAATTTTTTATTATTTCCTTTTCAATTGTTTTAGTAGTACACAATTTCTTTTCTTTCCCAATGAGACACCATAGCTTGACAGTTGACTGTCATGAGGAATATTTTCTATTAAGCAAACAACTGGAAATTTTTATCATGCTTCTGAGCACAGCTGCAAGGTGAAACTGATCATGACTTTCATGTTATCTGTCTCCATTTCCTTATGTTAACACAAGATTTTACAAGTAGCAATTAATGATGCAGTATTTTTTTCAGAATTTACTTAGCAGTTCAAGAATGTGACAATGCTTCTATTTTCAATAAACTTAAAATACATTTTAATATACTTAGCACAATGCATAGTACAAAATCTACATTTTGAAGAAGTATCATAGTTTTCATCATTTTTTAAATTATATTTTTAATTCCTTTTGAGACATCCTTGTACCTTTATGGTACCGATTGTTGTTCTCACTCACACTGAATACCACTTCATTTCTAACAGATTTTTCTCAGCTTTTGATGAAGGTAGAGACTGTATCCCCTACCATATGCATGCAGAAAATTATAAAAATTTATTAGCATCCATATTAATGTGCTGTTGCATTTCCAAATTGCTTCCCTTTAATATGAGTTTAGACTTCCTTACTGATCAAATCTGAAATAAGCATTTATTACTTTTATTTAATTTTCTTCATTGAAACATATAAATTACAAAATGATCAATGAATGTCTTACCAGGTTGTCTTTGGAAGGTGCTGTTGCACTCACATACTGTTGCACTATTCCAAATTGTTTATATATGACATGTGTTGCTTAATCTAAGAAATAAAGATAACCTTGAATATAAAAAGAATTTTAATTACTTTGAAGTTGTATTTTTTCACCTTGGTCAGTTTAAAATTATTTCGGTGATCTCTATCAGTATATACTGAGCCTTTCATGTGTTTAAAGTACTGTTCAGCGTGAGAGAAGGTGGTAGCCTTTTTATTTTTAGATATTACTAGCACTGGATACCTAGAGATATCTCTATTTTTGGAACTCTCTAGTCATCAAGAAATGTTAATCAGATTTTCAGAAATGCTTATAAAGCCAGATTTCATGCATACTCTATGCAGCCTTCATTTGGAATCAGATGATAGGGATATTCTAAAACATCTGCTAGAGGCTGTGATGAATATTCATAGCTATAGCTCTCATCACCTGTTAAATGCCACTCTGTACTGTAGGCGGCTTGGGGACGCACTGTCTTAAGGGTTGCATAGGGCAACACTTTTTAGGAAAGATAATTTTCTTGGCTCTCCCAGATATGTTATACGAAGAGTAGCCAGAGTATAATGAAATGAAAGTTCACAGCCTGAACTCTCTAAATCTGAGGACTATTGCCCAACATATTAGATCTCTTCACTGTTGCATTTCGTCACAGTAATGAGGAAGCAGGGCCCTACAGATAATTTTGATAAGTCTTAATTTAATCAGCAGAACTGAGATTACATTTTTCCCCTTCATCATTAATATCATTACACTATATGCCAACACAGCTATAGTGTATGCATGCATGATTTGAGACTCATGTTCTTGTCTCCCAGGCCTGTTTTTCTCTGAGTTTCAGATATAACACTGAGTTGATACGTTAATGCATTTGAGGCACCATAATTCAGTTATACTCTGCAAATAGGAGATGACCCAGTCACAGATGGTAATTAAAAAGAAAAAAAAAAAAAAAAAATGCTGGTTTCATTATACACTTCTTTCCCATAAAAATACAAGTTAGATCAAAATTTAAATGTTCTCTTTCTTCCTTTGTGTGCAGTACTGCTTATCTTCTCATGATGCTGTCCCTTAAGTGCGTGACTGTTATGCTGTTTTTGTGCAAGAATATCCTTTAGATATTCTTATTTATGTTATCTAGAGAATGAAGAATATCAGTGTGATCTAAATGTCGATTTGATTCAAAATCTTCCATGAAATTGTTAATATTCTATAAATACATTCAGAGCTGTAGGTTGGTATTACCTAGGAAAAATTGAATAGTTATGCAGAAGCATTTAAATATTAGCTATACTATCTTCAAGTATGCCCAAAATCTCCCTTGTATTCCAGTGGAATATACAGAATTACTACTAATAATGTTAAAAGAATCAAAGAAAAATGCTATCTGAGAGAAAATGTAGAACTATATCCTTTCATCAAAGTCAGTCTTGCTTTCTCCATATTTTTGGAAAAGCAGACTTGGCACCAGAGTTTATATTCTAAAGTAGTGATAAATATTCCTTCCTAATATTCCTAATAATCCTAATATTTTTTATAGTGTTATCAAAGATTTTAACAGAACACTTCATGCCCGACTTAGCAAAATTCAAAATGACATGTTCAGAGATACACAATGTTCTATGGTTTGTTATAGCCTTACCAGATATGCTACTTTTCAGTTTTAAAGTCACCTAACATATTTAAACATTTGACTAATTTTCCCAGATATTCTGAAAATACTGTTTAATTTTCTACAGAGACTTTATAGTGATGCTTTTATTTGGTCTCTCTATAAATATTTTTATGTGTCTTTATAGACTTTAGCAATTCTGCTGAGCATTAATTGCCATAGGTCATGCTAGTGGGTTTAAGGTAGGATGCCTGAATGCAACCACCGAACTTTGAAAAACTCCAAGGCAAGCCTAAGTGATTTTGGAGGAGAAAAAGTCTTAGGACAACATTAATCACTGATACCCCTTCGAGGCTCCAATCTCTAGGCTATTTCCCAGCTGTCACTCAGCAGGAGATATTACACAAATTTGTCCAGTCAAGACAGAATTTTTCTGTCTGAAAGCTGCAAAATAGAGCTGTCAGTTTGGGAGAACATGGAGTTTATGTGACCCTCTGCTTCATTCTTACCGTATTTCTGGATTTCATTGCGGGGAAAAAAAAAAAAAAAAAAAAAAAAAGGGATCAAGGGATCAGAGATTATTCCTCTTACGTAAAACAGAAAGGAATTAATTTATGGACCTTAGTCCATATAGTAGGTCTATTTACCTACTCAGAGTGCCCAGTATTCTTCAATTAGAGTTGGCAATTTTTGGACTGTTGCAATGGAAGCTCCTTTTATCCTTTTCTGCCCCAAATGCAGATTATCTTCAATTTACAAGTGATTCTGTTTCAGTGTTTATATGCGCTAAATCTCAGAGTATACATATAAAATCGCTACTGGTTTCCTTCTTGCATGGAATTTTCTTTTGTTTTTTTTATAAGAAAAAATGCACAAATAAATATTTTCTGTAAACTAAGAATTTCAGTGTTTCTTTAGAATTAGGAGGATCTGATACCTAGTAAAATAGAAGAGCAGTGAGCTTTCATAACTGAACTGAGAGAAAAAAAAAAAAAAAGCTTACATCTGAGCACAATAAAAGAAAGCTTTTTTTTTTTTTTTTTCTTACATGGCGACAGGATAATAAAAAATAGATTCTGTCTATGATTTTCGTTTTCTGAACTTTCAGAGTTTTTTCATCATACTAGCTTTTGTTCGCAGGTTAGCTGAAACCTTGGTTAAGGGTTACAAAACAGCTGAATACATATATCAGTATATCAGGGTGAAGATCCAGTCATACCTTTGGTCATTTAAATACTGAGAACAAAATAGGGCTATTAGTAAAGGAAGAAGTATAACTCTTCCTTAATTAAATTAAAATAAATTTTAATTTAATTCTTTTTTTTTTTTGATTTTTTTTTCTGTGAACTTCCCACTACCCTTTGATTTTAGGGTATCAGCTTTAAATGTATTTTAGGTATACATCTGTAGGTTTCATAAAGATTGATAGCTCAATTGCAGTGACAGCACTCAGTTCAGATTTCTGAACTACATGTTTGTTATTCAAATTTTAGTTTTTCCACATCTTGCACATGAGTTATTTTCATATCTAGACCAAATCAGAGACAGATATTTTTGCATATCAGCAGTTTGCATGTGGATGAAAGAAAATATGTTTTTGGCAATTTCTTGAATATATTTTATATATGTGATAATAACTGCTTTTTTGATCTTGTTTTCTTTTTCTTGTCAATCCAGATTTTGTTTTGGAAAGTTAGTGTAAATCTCAATGTCTTCTATTCTCTGTATTATTTCTCTCATAACATTTTACTGACATAGATTTTCCTTAGCATAAACTGTGAATGTTCAGGTTAATACTTTTGAAACATCTAATATGGTGACAGCAATGTTGACTGATGGTAGTTTGGTCAAGAGATACTTTGCAAAGACAATTGAAGAATAGAAGGGACACTGATATACTTAGAAGACTAGAATTTAAATAATGTTCAGACAGCAGTCTAAAAATTGAAATAAATAATAGATAGCAGTCTAATAATTGAAATAAATTTGGTACTTATGCATGAACAAGTAGATGTGGTTTATGTTTGCATTTCTTTTTCTTTTTTGCATTCATATCAACATTTTCCCTACAGATAGTAATCCTAATGTCTTGAAAGCTTTTTCAAGGCCTCCTCATTTGCTTAAACCTAAATTCGAAGAAAGTTTTGAAATATGTAATACCCTGGAGGTTGGAAACATAGTTAGACAAGCAATTGATTAATGACGTACCAAAGTAATTGGATATGGGTAGGCATACACAAGGGCTTGTTGGTTCTTCTCTATCTGCAGGCAGTAGTGCATATTGGGAGGTAAACATGCATGTTCTTCAGACACATGGAGAACATTGTCTCTCAGCAGCTATGAACATGAACTCTTATCTGTTCTTTAAGCTCCACCAGGAAAGTGCTGTTCTTTATGGGTTGCATTCCCATAGATTAAGCTCATGCGAGATCAGCTGCAGTCATTAATCAGGCCTGGATGTGCTCAGCACATACAGTCTGTGTTTCATATTACCTTCATTTCCAGTTACAACATGAATGGTGTTCAGAGTAGCAGAAAAGTATGTGGCCATATGTTGTAATACCACTCTTCTTTCAGTGCACCTCTAATTCTGGTGAAAGTGATATGATTTACAAAAGCATTGAGACTTCTGCCTTGCACAGTCAGGATACAAATCATCAGCTTTTTAAATCTGCTTCACAGAATTGGTTATTTTGATTAGCTGATGAGTGGAACAAAAAAAAGGAAAAAAAAATCTTAAACAGGCTGACATTACTCAGAGCCTTTATTTAAATCTCACTGACTGTGTGTATTGAGTTAAATTCAGTTTCTAATTAGAGGTCCCTATTTCATTCAGCAGAAATTGTGTCAATGTGCATATAAAAATTTGCTTCACCCGTTGTCTAAAAATGAAATTATCCTTAAACAGATATTTTAAATGGGTAAAGATAGCAGATGTGTGAAACTTTGCCCAAGCCTTCTTTCTTGAGAACTGATAGTCAGGGGATTTAAAGAAGCTCCTGGACAATTAAAGCTTCCTTTCTGAGCATGTCCTAAGGACATTGGCTGATGTTGTAATAGATTTGCACGGAACTCTACTCATTTGCTACATCAATGTATACTATCTACGTTTAACCTTCTGCTTTCCAGTAGTTGTTTGCACTTGCACATAAAAGTTTTGTAAATGTCTCCATGAGTTACTTAAAATGTTCTCTTCTAGGAAACCTCAGGAGATAGAAAATTGCAGATTAAGATAATCTGAAGATGGTCAGCAATTTTTGTGTATTTATAGAGTTATGAGTACTTTGCAAGCGAACAAGCAAAACTCATGGCGTTAGATAACCTGCAAATACAAATGTTGGACAAAAAGACAAATAGAATACATCACAGACATGCTGTTATTATCTTAATCTTACAGTACACACACGTACAAATGTAGGCAATGTATAAATGCAGTGAAGACAGCAAGTTTGCGCTGCAACCCAACATACGTATGTATTCATGTAACTCATCTTTCCAGTACAGAAAATGTTTATTAAATCAAAATATTTTTTAATTTAGATCAAAACAACATCAAAAAGTCATACTGAACAAAACCTAAAGAAGACCATAATCCCTGTGATTTGCTTGGCCAGATACGATCAATTAAACAAAAAAATATATTTGTAAAAACACAGGGCGTATTATTTCCTTCCTGTTAGTGTTCAAAAGCATCACAGCTACTAGTCTAATAGCATATTGAAGAGATATGAAGAAATGTAAATTAAAGGAAAACAAACTTTCTTTAAAATGTTGCTAGTATGTTTAAAACCCAAAGTTAGTTCCTATTTTTGGTCTTATAGCAGTAAGACTCTAAATGAAAATTGAGCTAGAATATGTGTGATAGTGTGTGTAATAGTAGCCTAGTAGCCCCAAGACATATTTGAATAACATCTTTATTTATTTTTTTTTTTAAAACTAAAGAGTCAGAATAAGCAAATAATAGCTATGAGTACAGAATGAAGTGACAGATAAATGTAACATGTGGAACTCAACATTGCTGATCTTTTCAAAGATGCTGAATAAAAAGCCCAAAGATATGTATACTAATATGGTGTATTCATTCCCTTTTCGTACACATCAGTCTGTTAACAGTGCCATATTTGCATGACAGCATGACAGGAAAAAGCTATTATATGGTATTGACTTTCCTGACCCTTCATCAGATAATATTTCTGTGGAGGCATTTAACTCAGAACTTGATTTATATTCTTCATACAACTATTTATTGAATGGGGAGAGCTCAACATCCAACTTACTGTAATAGAGAATTATCAGGCAGATATCAGGCAAAAGTATATCAAATTATTAAAATTGCTTCTATTTGAATCTGTTCATTTTATGGAATTACTTTAGTAGAGTTTTTGTTTGCTTGTTTGTTTGTTTGTTTCATGTTTAAGCTTTTTATTTTCACTTCCAGGAGCTGGAATTCTCCAACCTGTTTGCAGTCCTTCACTGTATCCACTCATTCTTTGCAGCCAAAGTGGCTTGTTTGGACCCTTTGTTTGTTGGCAGTCAAGCCACAGCTTCCGCTGCTCCCACAACTTCTGGTACTGGCAAATCAAAGTATACTACTTGACATCTCACGTCACAACACTGCCACTTAACAGCAAGACATAACAATGTATATATTCATGAGATCGAGACTTTTGGTGAACCGTGCACATGGAAACCAATCTTTGGAGGCAAGACATGTTGCAGAATAAATGGTCACATGGGATCATAAATTCATCTCTGTTCTGCAAGACATCAGTAAATCCTCCTAGCCAAAACTTCAGAATAGGATGGATATGCTTTTAGTATGATTTGTACTTTCATAGTGCTTTAAGCAACACTGGAAGCAAAAGAGTAAATGATGCAGTGAAGCACTTTGGTATTTAATAAATTTTCAAATTGCTGTAATAATATACAAATAGAATTGTCATTTTCCTGTTTTCAGATGTTTTTATATGACAATATACTAAACCCTAAGTATGAACTTAATACCTTACCACTATATTATAAATGACATGAGCAAGCAACAAGCGTATGGTGAAAAGGAGATGAGCATGAAAAGGCATTTGTGCAAGTATCTCCTTAAATAAGAAAGCACTTTAAGCACTGTTGTATATCCATACTTGTGTCTGTACATTGAGTCATGCTGCTGTTTTTTATTTTGTTCTTTTATCCTAATAGTAACAATGCCAAGGTATAGCCATATTGGACTGACATATTAAAAAATCCCATAAATAAGTCCTTCCTCACATAAAAATAGATGTGATATGAATTTAATTTAATTTTAAACATAAATTAACTACAGGTGTGTAACATTTCTTGTTCATTATTTCCTGCCTTTTTGTTTTATTTTGTTTTGTTTTGTAGAGAATTAAAATCTGTAAGTCTAGTAGGCTTTGTTCACAAGGGTTAATTTTTGAATTTGTTGCAGACGCAGGCTATCTAATGCGTTATTTCCATGTATGATCTTGATTTCACATCAAAAACACAATCTCTCTTCCACTCAGGCTCTCAGCAAAATAGACATTAAACATTATACTTGAAAAAGGATTCCACCCTTTGAATTCTTAATGATTTCCTTTTTGGTTATTATTTTTAGTTATTGTTAGTAAAAGATAGGAACAAATTAAGTAACTTTTAAAACTGTACTTGGTGACAGAATGCATAATATCTTTGAATAAGTAAAATTTTACATCACTGGACCACCACTATTAGTTCAAAAGTCTCATTTAATAATGAAATCTGTGATAGTTGCAGATTTTAAATTAAATTTTATTTGAAAATCATTTTGGAGAATAATTCAATTTTGGGCTAATTTTCACACATTAGTGGACATGGATACATGTGATATAGCTGAAATGATGCAAAAATTTGCTTTTTTTGAAAGATGGGACAAGAGAAATTTAAAAATTATAAGAACTATTGGTGCATAACATGTGCATAACATTTTAAATAGTGTTTTGGAAGTGTTATGTTCACTATCTTCAAATAAAAACTTCCTGTATATTTTTTGTTTTGACTTGTTATAGAAACATGTAGCAGGTTAGGCTTATGGATACAATCTGCCTGGTGTAGCAGAAAGACTAAATGTATCTCATCCTTTTCAATATAATAAAAGAATTATAAGTGAATAGAGAAATTCAAGGGAAAGCATTTTCAGAAGGAAGCATTACAGAAAGTACGACGAGGACAAAAATTGAATGAAACATAGGGACAAAACACGGCCCTGTCCCTTTGCTTTGCATTAGGGACAGGGCCTAATGTGAAATGTGGCCTTGAGTTATAACTGATTCTAGTTTCAAATAATCTGAAAAATATAATTTCTGGGAACTCCTTTTTTTATTTTTTTCAAATGACTTGAGGTACATGCTTGCTTCTTGCCATGTGGGTTACACGGTTGCCCAAGTCGTTTCAATGCTGAGTAAGATGACATTGTGCTATGAGCATCATCAAAGTCCAGTATATTCACAGTCAGTATGTATTGTGTGTGCGAGTGCATTTTTATGAATCCTTTATAAATAAGGGAGTCAAATCCTGGTTTCTGAATGCCATTCAATACTGCCATGGCTGTCAGTGTGATAGGATTTGTTCCTGAGAGATTATAAACCCCACATGTTTTAAATCTAAAATTGCAATGGTCTCAGGATGATAGCTAAGGCATTTCCCTTGTCAAGAAAGCATATACTGGAAACACAAATTGTGACACAGATGTGACAACACTGAAGAGAAAAGCCCCATATCTGCTAATAGAAGTTCTCCTTCTCTGTGCTCTGAAATTGGCTCCTTCCTTTTAACACCCTGCATTCAAATATCACTATGTTAGCTTGTGTTAAGACCTAAAGAAACATACCTATGGTATAAACAGAATCTGAAACTAAGCCAATTGAATATTTTGGGTTCTGGTGAAACCCAGGTCATACCATGTGCACAACTGTACCACTGTAACTGAGAGCTGTCTTAAGTGGTATTGTTTAATGTACTTAAATATGAAAGTAGCATATTCTTCAAACAACAGAAGCTATGTCATTGCAAGCTGCTGTAGACTGAGGGATTTCATTATATGAAAATGAAAAATTAAGTGAATGGCACTTTGCTGAGAATTGAACTAATCAAATAATTCCAGAGGACCTGGACTCCACCAGGGTGTACTAGAGATCTGTGTTACATATTCTGCCTGTAGAACTGCTATATACATCTATGAGAATTTTTTTACTAGTATTAAGTGCAGAATATTTAAGAGACAGTAGCCTGTAAATTGGTGCTGTGATTTGTTTTGTTTGATTCTTTTAAAAACAAAAACAAACCCTCTGTATTTCCAAGAGCTAAACTGATGGGGCTTGATCAATAGTTTTAGACTTAGAGGATTAAAGAGGCATTATAGGAGGCATTATAAGAGCATATGGTAGGATAACCTTGGCTGCAGCTGTGTGTTGGTTTATTCATCCAGCAGGGTTCTGGGCACTGAATTCATAGAATATTGAGTGATGATTCTGCCAACCAAGCTTGCCCTCGTAAAGGAGGTTAGTAGAAAACTCAGTCAAGAGACAAGGAGGGCAAATTTCGAGTTATAGATAATCCTGAAATAGTGAAATATAATTTTCAGATATATTTAATGACTATATTTTTCATTTAAATACACACAGAATATTTGCCTTTAAAGAATAGTGAGTTTCATATACATATGTCAAATGGCAGACTTTATGTTGCAGTCTTTCGTTTGGTAATGAAATAATAAACACTAAAAAGAAAGAAATAATGAACACTATTATTTTGTAAGCTGATACAGCCCAGTGATTATGAAGGTAAACACCATTATAATGAACTGTGAACTATGATTTTCCTTTGAAACTCTGTGAACAGACGAAATTAACTATTTTAACCCAAAAAATGCAAACCAGCTGAAATAAAATAAACCCATAAATAACCCATAAAATAAAATGTAATTTGTTCTATTTATGCCATTATATTGTTCCTTAAATAAGTTTACTAAAAAAAAAAATCTTTATACATGTAGACAGATAGTACTGTGCTTATTAAAATCATGTTAAATAGTATACCAATAATATATACTCCCAGTTATAACTAAATATATTTAAGTTTACTTACTTTGCTTTATGATTAAATTTTAGATGATCTGACTTTCACAGCACTAACCATAAACTAGGCTATCATGGTGGCATAATTTTGTTATAAAAGTGTTTCAAATTTGAAGATACCTTATTCTCGATTTCATCAGTGAAGGAGTTAATATGCTTCATTTCCTATGTCTGTTTAAAAATATAGTTACAAATTTTCAAAAGAACTTTGTATTCCAGTAGCATGAGAGCACCTTTAAAATAAAAATTGGGAGTTTTTAAGTATTGGTCATTTTATTCTGTTAATTAAGGAAAAAGTGAAGTTTGTGGACACCTGTTGTAAGTGGGACACTTATGATGATCAAGTTCTTTAAGATTTGCTACTCAAACTAGAATTCATAAGAATATAAAATAATAATAAACAGTACCAACATGTTTTCAGATTAAATTAATGACAAATATTCCATTCAAAATTAGATGTTGATCTCAAAGAAATTATTTATTTATTTTTTATGCTTTGACAGACACAGCTAAACACATGGGTAGATAGTTGTACATGCTGCAGCCTGCTATTTTAAATATGATTTAGTTTATTCAATGCCTTAAGATGTATCTTACATCAATCAAGATATTTAAAGGCTGAAGATTTTGTGAATGTACAGATTTTGACTTTTAAAATTCAGTAGTAGCGACACATCTATATCCCTACATGTCCATATCCTATAGTACTCCCTTTGCCTAAAGCAAAGATTAGTCTTCATTCTTTTTACAGCTATTCCAAGGAACTCTTTCAAAAATGTTTATGGACTAACATTAAACATTAATCATTGTATCACACTCTCCATTTCTCTACAAGGTCTACAATCTGTAAAAGCATAATCCCTGTAAAAAAAATAAGCTGATTTTAAAATGCTTGGGACTGCTATGAGTCTTACTTTGCAATCACACCTCTAATTCATTTGTATCACTGTCGTTTTTATTCCCTCTCTAGTTTCTAGGACAGTTAGAGTGACTGTCTTAGTAAATGAAATTACTAAATGACTAAATCAGAGCTTAAGGTTCTCAGCAGGAACCTTCAAGGCAGGACCATTATTTAGATTGAATTGTGCTGTGAAGGTGGGCATCTTCTCTCTCCAATAACTGGAGAGGTGCTGCTGCATTAGCAGCTATGTTTGCATCAGAAAGTGCTTTTGAAGTAAAACCCTGTATGTTGCCAATCACGGCAACACTGCAATTGGCATGTTGCCAATCATATTCATATTACAGAGCAGCCTTGGAGTATGTGAACCTGGATTTTTAGGATGACACGAAACCAAAAGCATATCCAATGAGTCCCACCTCCCAGTGGGCACTCAGTCATTGCAGTCAGGCTAGCTGAAAGAGAAAACCCTCCAAAATGCTGGTGGTGATGTTGTCAGCCCTGTGTACTGTTTTTTTCCTTTGGTGCATCCTACATGCTTGTAGGATCCCTAATAAACTGAGCTTGCCAGTTGGGCCACCCAGAGTTTAAGGGCTGAAGCTGAATGGAGTAACCACTCAGTAACCTGGTTCTGGAAAGGGTCGGAGTGAGTCTTTCATGCAGAAAGACTAGATGAAGGCTGATGGATAATCCCAGGGAGGTTATCCCGCATAACCCTTTTCCTGCCTGATAATGTGGAAGAACATCACCACAAAAAATGCTAGCATGTGCTTGTCAGTCCTCACCACACTATGTCTTTCTCCCCATCTATCACAAATACCTTTTTGTGCATATTCACTCTTATGTTCCCATAGGTACCACCCCTGTGCCTGTCTTTGCTCAGACAAGCAGCAAAACTCAACTCCCTCAGCCTGTAAGGCAGCCTACAAACCTCCAATACTGTTAGGGCATAACAAGCATAATAGCCAGCATCCCTTACCAGAACAGTGCTCAAGGGTGCAATTAGTGTTAAGATTAAAGGGAATAAAGACATACCTAAGTTTTAATGCTTTCCTGATTAAAAAAGTTTTTAAGTGCACTTTTAGTATCTCCTTGGAATAGGGTATGTAAGATCAACTGCATTATATACCCTTTATAATATTTGTCCATTTTTAAGAAAATTATCTGAGGCAGCAGTTCACATGCTATTGGAATTGGGGGGGGGGGGGGGGGGAGATAGAAAAAAAAAGAAGAAATTTCTATTTGGATCCTGTATATTATTGCAGTACAGTAGTTTTTTCTTGGACATAGTAAAACCTAATCAATGTCCCCTCCTGTAATATACATACCTTCCACTTTCAGTATTTTTGTCCAAAGGAATCCCAACTTTATATCGTAGAAAGTATTGTATTATTCAGTATATACTAATATATAATACATGATGTGTATCTATATGTGTGTGAGTGTATATATATTAGTATATACTAAAAGATGATATTCAGTATATATCAATAAGTTATATATTAGGCATAAAAATCTGTGAAAATTTATGGTTAAAAATAATCTTATAATATTATACAGAAAAAATATGTATATTAGCTGAAGAAATGGCTATTTTTGCAGCAGATGCACAATATGGATATACAATAATACATTGATGAACTTTAGCTCAATTATTGTTTCACGTTTATTTTGAATTTTCAGTTGTTTTATCCCTTAGCATATTTGAAATATGTGTCATAAATTTTAATTTGTTATGGAGGAAAAAAGACTGAACAAATGTTAAAGAAAGTGCTATATATTTTATAAATATTAAAAGTTTAAGAAAAGCTTTTCAAATTATTTATTTCATTTTCAGTTATAATTTTGTGGTTGTTTGTAATATGTATTTGTGACAAACATAAGCCACTTAGTTGTTTAAGCTCATTAATGTACCACTAATAAAACACTATCTCCTGTTTTGTTTTTGTTATGTTTTGTTTTGTTTCTTTTTGTAAAGGAACATAACAAAAATAATAGTAAATAAATAATTTTTTAAACTAATCTTTTGTATTCGGTCAGTGTATGAGTTTTTGTATTGTTGAAAGTCAGTCTGAGGTATTAAGGAAAAAAAAATAAAAGGGGGGGGCAGGGCTAAAGTTATTTCCCAGCACTAAGTTCATCTGATCATTTAAACGAAACCATCACAACTCCATTCTATTATGATCATCTCCACAAAGAAAATCACTCACCTAAAATCTGGCTGGTATTCTGGAAACCTCTGTCTCTTTCTAATGGCTATTAAGCTCATCTTTAGCAACCAGATTATTTTATCATTGACATTTAAATGCTTAAAGAGGGATGCAGTGAGCCTGGGACTGGCATTGCAGTTGCTTGAACATATTTTTTGGTACATAATTACAATACTTAAAAACTTGAAAATAGTCTTGAAACTGCCGGAGCAAAATAAATTTGTAGAAGGACTGGCAAAATAAATTTGTAGAAGGACTAGCTTGTATGAAGTGACCAGAAGCAGATCTGCTTGCATGGCAATTTCAGTTCAAATTTGTTTGTCTTTTTCCCTGGCTGAGGGAAGAAATGCTTAAGAATAGGAGTGATGAGCCCCTGATTTTATTTAAAGCATTATTTTATAGCACATTTCCATTTTTTCAGTCTTTAGGATGATGGTTTGCAGTGCACTGTCTTTGTCACTTCTTTCCTGCTTCCAGAGGGGAGATAAGAGTTCAGATCCATTCTGAAGTGTTGCTGCCATCTCTGTCCCAAGCCCTACCAGGACAGCCCTGGCCAAGAGTCCACCCTTCCTCTGTACAGTGGAAGTCTACATTGCTGGTCAAATCTTTCAGCTGGTTGAACATTTTGACCTCTTCAGAAGGAGGAAAAATGTGTTTCATGTAAATACAAATGTAATGAATATTTTGTATTGAGAAAATCCTTGATCCTCATGTCTTGATGCCATTCAGTTAACCTATCTGACATCACTGTTTCTTGTGTCTCAAGACAGGATTTTTTTCCTGATTCAATGAAAAAAAATACAGGCAAGAGAATTTTTTTTTTTTTTTTAAAAAAAAAAAAGAGGTCAAGAGAGCATTAGAAAATTTCAAGTTTAGAAAAATCTTGGAAGAAAATGTATTCCAAATGTACAGCTGTGCTATCACAGCTACCCTTGTCACTTAAAAGGGAATTATATTTTCTCCAAGAAACATGAACTCACACAAAACTTATTTTTATTCTGTAAGCAGACATTTTCTTGAGTATTACCATTCATGCAATAACATCTTTTCCTTCTTCTCCACAGTTTTTGACCTCATATGGAAATTAATGTTATCAAAGTTTCTTAACATGCCATCCTGGAATATGTTCATGATGCTTCTGTTCCATGATTATTTGCTCTTCACACCCTGCAGTAATTTATTCTTCCATCATGTAAAATGAATTGCAATTCATTTACCTGTGCATTAATCAATAAAAGTTAACATAGTATAATAGTCACATCTCATCTCTGATTTACTTAAAGAGTTCCCTAATGTTTGTTTTCCAGTAATTTAGCATTATTATTCTTATATTTGCTTATGTTTACTTAGCAACAGATGGTTTTAATTTTAAAATATTTTTCTTTTTTTTTTTTTTTCCATTTAAAGGTCAACAGTTCGTATAAATAGAGAACTAAATACTTAATTTCCTTATCACAGAAAAAAAAAAAAAAAAGTTCTCTGTGGTGCTATGGTTAATATTTCTACCCAATTACTCCAGAAAAAAATGAACAAATTTTACTGTACAATAGACTTTAGGGGTTCTTAACCATGTACTTTACACATCGCCTTTATGTGCCTTTATGTACCTCCTTCACTGCTCTAAGCGGAATTTCTGCCCAGCCCTTTCAGTCTTTGCAAGTATGTCTTAGGCACTTGCTCAAGGCTCCTTAGTATTGTAGATACATTTTTCTTATTCCAAAAGGGCAAAGAGTGTTATTTCCGCCACAGAAAGAGGAAGAACTGTAATTCTTCCAGAAGGCAGATCCTAGTGTCAAGTATCCCATGGGTTGAAGCAAAAAGTTCTTTCTCTGCTTTTTTTCTGCAGAAAGGGGCATCTTCCTCCCAGTGCCCCAGAAGGAATTTACTTTCTGCTCCTTCCGCTTGTGGAAGTATCGTCCTCCTCTGCCAGCCTGACATTTCAGAAATCCAATGTATGCACAACAGAGAGGCTAGGTTTCCCTCAGCAAAATGTAATAGTTTAGATAATTGCTTACTAGTTTTTAAGTTTAGTGGGTAAAGAGTGGAAGACTGGCAGGGAGACAGGAGCATGGTGACCCATCAGATTTTCCAGCTGTCAAAACATTTGGAACATATAAGAAATGGCAGTTCTCAACATTTTTACTTGCACTACATAGATGTCAACCTTAACTATTTCAGCATATGTACAGAACCTTGTAATCTATAATTTATCTTGAACCCATGCTCCCCCAAACCTTTCCATGGACCAATGCTCTGTGGTGCCTGGGACAGCCTGGTTGCTTCCCTGCAAGGTTTTCCTGGGCTTTCTCTTGAGCGTTAGAGATTTCAAGGTAATAAATATGTAAAAATCTTACTCCAGAATGGCATATTCTACCTCTGGATATTATAAATATCAGCTACTGTTGATAACATTAAGTATAACAGGAAGCCTAATATCTGTGTAAACTCTTAAATGTAAAAGCACTAAAGAATCTAGTCCATACGCTCACCTCATGCAAGGCAGAATATATATTTAATAAATGTTACCAATATTCACAAGATTTTCTTCCTTTTCCTTTATTTTTTTTTTCTCACCAACAAATGCATAGAATGACTGCAATATTAAAAACTTTAAATACAGTTCTGCCAAGAGAGAATCACTTCTTTATAGACTGAGCCTTATGTTTTCTAGGGAAATATCATTATTGCCAGGGGGATGCCTGAATAGGCGCCACATACTGGGTACAGTCCCATACAGTCCATGTGCCTATCCTGCTTCTTTCTCCTGCAAAGTGACAAGTCTGCAGAGTGTCTTGCTGCAGTTGTGCCTTCATGCAATATGAGGTTGCTATATAAAGCTATCTCCAAAAAGCGGGATTTTTAAAAAAGCGCTCCCCAAAATCTCCATCAAATCCCATGAGCCTCAGTGAAAAAAAAACAAAATATAAACTTCTTTTATGGCCAGATCAAAACCTACCATTCACAGACACAAAATCTCTTCAGAAAATGTCATTTTTTTCCCCAATTCAAGACATTAGTAAGAGGAGAGGAATGGTTTCAGAAGGGGCAAATTCTTTGCTAAAGCAAAGAGAAACATGGTGGTTGGTTGCACTCTTTCTTACTGTAAACCCACCAAGTGCCTTTCTGGAGCAAGGAATCAGAGCAGAGCAATATCATAGACAATTTACATGAATGTACAATCACAGACAGATGAATGTTTGCAAGAAGCATGAAGTTTAAGTTAAGGGTCCAAATCTCTGAGTCATCCAGGTAGTGGAATACTTCAGTCGCAAAGCGAGAGCTTTTCCTGACAAGCAAGTCAAGGGGTCCTGCTCATAATGTAGTCTTGTGAGATGTGAGTTGTCCCAGTGAATTACAGAATCATAAGGACCTACTATAAAGGACCTACTATAAAGGACCATCACTTGTGAGGTGATGAGAAAACGTGCATAAATTTAGAAGGAATGTCCTGAATCACTGAATCTTAACCTGTTTCTT